GTTCTCATTTTTGGAAAGTCCAGTCGTCCTTCAGAGTAAGCCCCCACCTTTGTTGGCAGATTGTGGTTTAAAGTGAGAGTTTATTCTCAGGCCTGTCAGCAGGTTTGACCGGCTGCACAGGAATCAGCATTGATCCAGTAAACAGAAGAATCGGTTTTCACACCTGCCTTTCATAACGTTTCTTCTGACGTGGAAACCCAGACGAACGCACCTGATGTCGCGCTGGATTATTGCTGCTTTGCTCTCTAAGATGCCAAAGAAAGAAAACATGATTCAAAGTGGGGGGAAAAAAAAAAACAGGAAACAAAATTAAATAATTACAGTACGGCGTCTGTCGTATTTATTGGTACCCCTTGTAACGATCCACTGAAACCTAAAAATATATTCATCTTTTATTGTAGAAGCAAAATATGACTCTTAAAATTTGGTGGGTCTGGGATATGAAAACTAAGAGTGAAGTGAACCACATCACTTCTGCTACTAAGACAAGTGGAGGGACCTGTGATGCTGTGGGCCTTGAGAAGCATGCCCCATAAGCTCTTCAAAAAAAAAAACATTTTATTTATTAAAAATACCAGGACATTTTGGTTCAAAATGTGTCAGTCTATGCCTGACAACTAAAAATGTTACTTCTTTACCGTTTCTTTTCCACCACTGAACAAATAACCAATTACATATATGAATACTTTGCTCAAATCTGCAGGTCTTCATTTACAAATAGCTGGATTTAGCCAGCTATTAATAAAAACATATTTTTATTAATGAACGTTTCTGTATGTTGAACAGTTTTGTCTGACAAAGACATTGCATAAGCTTGTTTCACTATGTTTGACTTTATGGGTGGACCCTTCCTGATTAATTAGCAGGGGGAAAAAAAAGAGGAAAAGGAAGTTAAATAAAACACTTTAAAGAAATACATCACCCAAATGTGAGATCAGAATTTGACCACAGAAAATGTCAAAGATCTGGGTCAGAAACTTTGTCGCCACCCAGAACGGGAATTAGAGCTGAGAAGGATTTTTATTTACTACAATGCTCAATGTGTTTAGAAAATCCTAAAATTATATTTCTGTAAAACTCAGAAGCTAGCCAGTTTTTGAATCAGGCTGTGAATTATTCTATTATATCAAGGCTATCTTGACGTTGGCACCGGTGACGCTGACTTTTAACAAAAGGTGAACAAAAGTCATTTTCTCGTGAATAGTATCTGGTTTCCTTGAAAGGAGTTGCTGGTAAAGTAACAAAGCTAAGATCTCTACAAAATTACAGCTGCTGCCACTTGTGTCAACTTTTTTTTTCTTCTTCTTCTCTCAGGAAATAAAGTTCTGTCATGTGGTCAACTGTAGCTGGTGGAGGTAATTAAGTATTCAGCAGTAAGAGGAGATCATGTTTCCTTCAGCAGGATGAAGATCTAAAGAGAGAGACACGTGACACTTCATAAAAGATAAGATTTCATCCCCGGTCACCTGTAGTTTCGAAGATGAGGCTCATTCATTGTTAGCCGTATAATACGCTAAGAATGACAAAGCGGTAAAACAAAACCCTTTGTGGAAAATGTTAGCGGTGGTTGACAGGAAGTTAAATCTGCAGCCAAAACAAAAAAAGTCTATGGGAACTAAATGTGAGTCAGAAGCAAACCAAACTGCACTGAGCTCACCGTGACGCCTCACCTGACCTGACGAGGTCTGACTCGGCGTCTGACCGAAATCTGATGCCAGCACTGAAACTGCGGCTGCTTGGATTCAAACTGAAGTGTGGGAGTGACGCGTCGATGAGCTGCTCCCAAACAAAAGAGCCCCGTTGAAAAGTCTAAGAATTAAGAGTTCCTGAGGCAGCTGTCAGGTGAAGCTGTGCAGTGCAAAGGTATTCACACCCAGTGCATTTTACTGGGACTTTATGGGTCAGATCAACACAGAGTGAGCGCGTTAACGTGAACAGGAATCAGAAACAAAATAGCTTCATTGGCTTCAATTGAGGAATTTGACTTCAGTTTTCAAGCACTAAAAGTGTAGGGAAATAAGTATTATTTTATAAACCTCGTATTATATAGGAACAATATATAAATGTATTAGCAGCCAAGTTATTTTTTGAAAAATATATAGAAAAAAAAAGACTTGATGTGATGATGCAGAAATGCTTATGTTATTTTGGTTTTCACTAAAGGTTGCCCATAAAAATATGAAATTTGTGGTATTCAGCCACCTCTACTCTGACGCCCCTAATCGGGTGAAAAAGCCTCTTTAGAGGATGGCCAGTTCAAGTTTACAATGAGACTTGAACTCATGAAAGAAAGAGCTTTGATCAGTCGCTCTTATACTTTTCCTGCAGTATAAATGCTAAATATAACATCACCGTGAAACACAGTGTTGACGGCATCATGCTGTGGAGATTTTTGCCTTCAGCTGGAACAGAGTATCTAGTCAGATGTTTTGGGAAGAAGGACCGAGCAGAAACTGCTACGGAGTATTTATTTATTTATTTATTTTCAGCATTTAAAGATGACATTAAACAGAAAACCAGAGCTACAGCGGAAAGGTTTAGCTCAAAATATATTCTTTGTTGTGATGGTCCATTCAAAGTATAGGCCTCAATTGAAAGCTGCTGTGTACAGACGCTGACTATCCAGTCTGAGTAGATATGGAGGGAACTATTTTAGTCTCAAGATGTGCGAAAGCTGTTGGCGACACACCCCGATGGATTTGCAACTGTAATTACAGCAAACGGAGGATCTGCAAATTAGCACCTTAGAGACTTGGATATAAATGCATGCCACACTTGTCAGATTTTCTGTACAAACGAGAGAAAAAAGTTGGAAAGCATGTGCAGTTTTTCTTCCATTTTTCATTGCGTTGTTGTAAAACATGGACTCTTGATAAATGCAGAGCGACGTTTTAGTTTTAGCCCAGTTTCAGCTGCTCACAACTGACGTGCGAGTGTGAGGATAAACAGAGGAGAGGAGAACACGGGACGTCTGCTCCTCTGTCATTGCAGCCATTCCTACCTGTCTGCACCATGTGAAGCCACATGCTGCAAAAAAAAAAAAAAAAAAAAAAAAAAAAAAAGTAAAGCACTGTGGCACTCGGCCTCCTCCTTTCAGGACGTCGCCTCTCTGACAAGAAGATGAGCTGTCCTGCACATGTGGCAGCTTGTCCCATTGTGTCAACTGACAACAAGGGCGGGAGTGTGCTGGTGTGCTGGTGGTTGGTCACAAAACACGCACCGAGAGCCGAGGCAGCTTGGCAGGGAGCGCCGAGTGTGTGTGCTCGCTCTTTGGTTGTTGCCTGTCGAGGAAACTTGAAATCTGTCGTTTTTTCCGTCTGTCAACAGGCGAGGGCTCGGCGGCGTGTTTCAGAGGCAGCATCTCTGTCGCATCCTCCCTACGTTTTCCCCTGGGAGCCAAAAGAAAAAAAGAAAAAAAAAAAATCAGCAACAGTTGCACAGCAGTCGTGTGAACCTGCAGTTTCTGAGCACACAAGTTTGTTTTTTTTTTTTTTACCCACCTTTTTTTTTCTCCCCCCCCCCTCGACATCTGCTAACAAGTCAGCTTTGTTTATGTGTGTGTGTGTGTGTGTGTGTGTGTGTGTGCACGCGTGTGTGTGTTGGTATGTGTGCTGGGATAAAGGGCCTTGATGAATTTTGAATGAGGCCGCTCTGCACAGTTAGTCAAAACAGATTCAAACTCTTGGAAGAAGTGGTAACACTCACGCAGTGAGTGGCCATGATCTGCATGCATCATGCCCCAACCTAAGCTGAGCCCCCCTCCAACCCCTAACCCACCCACAGCCTCCGCCGCCCTCCACTTCTCTTCTCTCTCTCTCTGCAGCTTGAACCCCGCAGAGCCCAGAGGAAGCTGCTTCTTATCAGGGAGTGCGGTGGGGGGGGGACAGGAAGATGCTGTGAGAGTGTTGGTGGTGGGGTAGGAGGGCAGAGTGGCACTATGCAGATTTTCACTTGACATGGGCTTCCTTTGTGAAGCTGACTTGTAGCTACAGCTGTACGCGCTGCCAGACTCATAACAACAAAGTTACATTTGTCTCAGTTCGTTCAGTTCGAGGTTCTGATAAATGCCTCCTTCAGAATTCGGCGAGAAGGACACGTTCTTCCAGGACGTCGTCCTTCCCTTACGCCGTTTATTTCATCTTCTGAGGCTGCTGTCATTTTCTGCTCCAGTTTTGATCTTTTCTCTTTTTTGGGGGTTAAATCCATCTCCTTTGAGAGTGTCCCGAAGTTAGAGACTGGATTTTCATCTGCTCATGCAGTGCTTTGCAAAAAGAGCTTGAACTTTTCTCCTTTTCTGCCAGAAGAAAAGTACAAACTTCAATGTTTTATTGAGAGTGTGAGTGACAGAGCAAATAGAAGTGGGCATTTATCACGTATCGTTTATCGTGATAAATTTCCTAAGATTTTGATGTATTGTTCTCACGATGTAGTCAGATAAAAAAAATTATTGCTCACTTCCTAATTTGACTGATCTGGAGCTATTTTGTACAGAAGAACTGCCAAAAGATTTCAACTCTAAATGTTGGTAGGAGACGCATCTGAAACGACTTGCTGCTGAAGGGTGCTTTTACAAAACACTGAGTCGGCCACACTTTCCACATTTTTATTTGTAAAAAATAAATAAATCATGTTGATTTTTTTTTTCTTCTTACATGCAGTACTAATAAAATGCAGACAGATTTGTGGTTTAAACGGTACAAATACTTTTGCGAGGCGCGGCACATCTATCCGTTTTGGGTTCAAACTTTGTCGAGGATAGAAAATCAGCTTCCTCGTTTCACCCCGGTTGTCCTCCCTGCGTAGTGATTATCCACCAGCATTCAAGCACATCACGGCAGAAAAAAGTGAAGAGAAATGAGGCGTAGGAGGCAAAGCTGCTGCCTTTTCAGTTTCTGAGGGAATATCTCTAAGAATTTCTTTTAAAATTCAGTGAGAAACTCTGTTTTTCTCTCCCCCCCCCCCCACTCTTTGATTATTCATACATCTTGTATCTTTGGCAGAACCCTGAGAATGAAGTCCTCCACCATCCCCCAGCTCTAGCCGGGCAGCATGGCTCCTGCTCCTCCTTCCAGAGAGGACACCGGCAGCTCATTAGCTCTGCGCTGGAGGCTAACGCCGACATAGATTCTCTTCAACTTCAAATTGAACCAATTCAGGCTGGAGTCCTGGTTAAACATCTAAATAAGCTGCTGACAGGATCCATCCAGACTCGGGGGTTTTTCAACCATGCGCTACCTGTGACCTTTTTTTGGGCGTCAGAGCTGGACCGTGCGGCTCCTCTGCTCGTCGACCGACCCCAGACCCCGAGCCATGTCTCTTCTCTTAACTCTACGCATCGTCTGTGGATTGATGCTCCAGCATTACTTCAGTCCGCTCAGCGCTCAGTACTGCGTCCCACGGAAGACCGTCGACTACCAGAGTAAGTCACCGGCTCTCCATTAGACACGGGAACTTGGAGCAGTTTGATTCGTTGCATGCATTTGAATATTTTACGCATGATGTACGATCCCGATGGAAGGCTTTAGCTGCTTTACGTTCTTCTCTTTTCTGCTGCAAGTGACAAGTTTATTAGTTTCTCAACAGATTTGCATTTTACTTTTTGCTGTGAGAGCATTTTTTTTATTATTTTTTACGAGGAGTCGAGGCGATTGCGAAGCAGTGCAAACTTTTTCTCTCTGCCCAGGTCACCTGAATTTGTTCAAAGAAGATGGGATCTTCAATTACTCAACTATGCTGATCAGAGACGACCTGGGTGTGGTGCTGCTGGGGGCGAGAGAGGCTGTCTACGCTCTGGATATGAACAACATCTCGGACCAAAAGGCCGCGGTGAGGACCTGTGCAGCGTTATTGCGTCTGGAATAAGGAAAATGTCTGCAGGGCAGTTTACATATTAACCGCATTTCCCACTATCTCGCTCTTTTTTTACTGCATGGCGAAATGCTGCAGCAAGAAAGTTAATCCTTTGTTGAATTTTTATGGCGTTTTACTGCAGTGATTAGGCCAGAAGATCAAATATTTAGTGAGCTACTCAAGGCTGGACTTGCCTGGTTGCTTGAAGCAGTTTACAGTTTTTTTTTTTTTTTTGTAGACTTTGACCCCTTAGAAGTAGGCGAGTTTATGGTGGTGTGGAGGAAAACAATGGGAGAATTGACCTACAGACTTTCCCATTGACTCAGGTTACTGAATTATTAAAAAAAAAAAAACACAAATAATGTGCTGCTGTTGTCATAAGATTTAGTCTTTATTGTGTTTTGTTTCCTCTCAGTCCGTGAATGTCTTATGACCTCTGATACCTACATCACAGGTGCTGCGCATTTGTCTCGTGTTATTTCAGGTAACTAATGTCCTGGCATCACCTTCCTCTCCGTCTGATAACTATAGAGAGCACAATTTGCTATGTAATTTATGCAGTTGCTACTTAAATGTTGCAGCACTGACCAAATATTAAAGTCACTCAGTCTCATTATACACTATGCAGACACTCTGTCTGCATGGATAAAGACTCACTACCTCAACAATGAGGTTAAACTTGGACTGATGGCGCCTCCTCTCCACGAGTTCATTGTCTGCTAATTGAACATTAAACTTTTAGCCCAAGGTTGTGAGGTAATCATTAAACATGAGAAAACGAATAAACAAGACATCGCTGCAAAGAAAACCGATTTGATGATTTGATGTTCCACGTAATTCACTGATATTCCTGTTTAATGAATGTTTCGGAAACACGAGACAGATCTTCAGTGCACAGCAGTCTGACGAAAATAAAACTACATAAAAAAAATAAAATTATAGTGTATGTAAAAAAAAAAATAATTGAGTCTAGACTTTTAATAAAATAAAATTAAGTTCTGTTTTATTCAGGGGAGATTTTGTATTGTTATTTGGGGTCTTGTGCATGTAAAAAAAAAAAAAGAACAAAGAAAAAACAGCAAGAAAGTTTGTTGATGGGACAAAACTTGCAAGAGCTCCACTGAAGTCAACAAAACTGTAGATTTTTGCTTAGTATTTTTAGTGTTTTGCAAAGTTTCAGCAGATTCAAGAGTACCACTGGTGCGGCTCAATCAGCATTCTGAGCGAAAATGGAATGACAGCCCTGTTAAAGGCAAACAAAACAATTTTAAATGGAAAATTGCTGCAGGGCTGCAAGACAATTACCGCATGCTTTGACAGGATCCTCTCTGTCTGTCGATGCAGGTGTATTGGCGAGTCACCGAGGAGAAGCAGAGGGAGTGCACATACAAGGGAAAACACGCAGAGGTTTGTCCTGCACCTTCCAAAGCAAAGCCCGTCTAATATCTAATTCTGGAGCGAGGATGCAACCTAAAGGACGGCCTGCCTGAAAACCGCACTGCTGCCTCGGGCACTTTGTGTTAATCATTTATATGAGTTTAGGTTTTTTTTCTGTCTTTCTTTTTTCCTTTTCAAGTCTGCATGTAGAGCTCTCTTTGAAGTCCTGTGCCTATAGCTTTGAGCTGAACGTCCAAATAAAGACGCAGTGAGAAACCATTCACATTCACGTCCTTGACCCTTTGCCCATCAGCAGCTCAGCTCTGAGCAGCACGCGTTGCAACTGTACATGTTTGGCACGTTTGTGATTTGAGGGCTGAACTAATGATAAGCCGACCTTGGCGTTCCCTCTGATGGTGTTTTTTTTTTGTTGTTGTTGTTGTTGCAGGTGGAATGCCGCAACTACATACGGACGCTGCACAGCGTGAACGACACCACGCTCTACGTTTGCGGCACAAACGCCTTTTCTCCGGTGTGCGATTACATGGTAAGCGTGCTTTTACTGAACCCATTAGATCTACAGGAGTGTAAAAACAGGCCCTTCTTTTGAGGTTTTTTGATGTTAATAATTTAAAAATATATGCCCCACATAGAGAATGGTTCGAGTTGCGGTAGGTTTTGAAGAGCAAAAAAGGCTTTAAAATATTTTCTTTCTTGCAAGACTGCCCCTGAAACAATAAATTTCACGTCCTGCCTTTATTAGAACACATTTCTATTGTTTCTGACTTCCTGTGGTTGAGTTCCTTAGTTCATTCTGTGAGTGCACTGCTCTTTGCAAAAGTATTTATTTAGAGATTTAGGATGTTTCACATTTTGCCAAGTTACAACTTCAATCTATATTTCACTGGAATTTTATATGATAAATGAACTTTTTGGTAAACATACAAAATGCTTTCTGTGTGGTTTCTCAATGGCGAGTCCCCGACCTTGAGAAACCCCCCCTTTCTCTGCCAGTTCCTGTTTGGTAAATGTCAATAAAGGGTAAAAAAATATTAAGAAAAACTTTCCATGGTAGGATTATTAAACTAATTCGACCTGATGGGGAGGATAGATTGGGCCCCTAAGGGCATCTGAAAAAAAAAAAAAAACAACTGGCAAAATGTTTGACTCTAGAAACAAAAAGGTAGAAGTGGTAGCCAGTTCTACCGTATGCAAGGCAAAAAAGCTAACACGTTAACAATTTTGCGAGTAAAGGTGCTAAAAACATCTTCTGAAAAATGCTCAGCTTTTTCTTTTTTAACAAACTTTGAAGGAATTGCTTTATAAAGATGAACACTGAAGCTGTTTGCAAATGCCAGTCAAATTGGAGACAGTAAATATTTACAGCAGCAACATTATGTAAGTAGGGCTGCCTATAAATGACTACAGTGCTCATGCTTATTTTAATGAGGTAAGACATCAGCCATGGTACGACTGCAGTCACTCACACACTCTGACTATTTTTAGCAGCATTTGAGTGAAACTAAAATAAGGAATTGATCAAAGATGATCACGTTTTCATCCTGGCTAATTGTTGTCAGACACGGTTTCTGTTTTTTGGGGGCCGAATCGTAAGAATCAACGGACAAAGAGGCTATTATGCCGAAGCCTTGTTTCACACCAACACGTTTGTTACCAGGAAGCTCTTCCTCTTTCCGATGCAACATAGGAAGGAGACAACACATTTCTTTGTTCGACCCATTATTTTGATTTATGTCCCGTTTAATGCATTTTGGCAGCACATTCGCATTTCGGGGAACGGAGCGATCTTAGCTGCACACAGGGATGCTGTCTGAACTGAACAACTTTGTTTTTAAAAGTAGATGCAGTCTGACACACTGAGGCATCATAAAAAAAAGGATCTTTATTATCTGTTTTGTGCTTTGATTTAAAAATAATTTATTCTGTTTGACTTTGAAGTTAAGCTACTTTAGAGAATAGAAACCTCCTTTATAATAGAGTTGAAGGCAGAAGATGAGGCGCAGACAATGTATGAGCCTGAGAACATGCTCTAAAATCACAGTTACATATTTAAAGTAATGTTGGCTTCATGAGACATTTTAAAACTACTATTTTAGACGATACGTATCCCCGGTAATGACTAATTTCTTCACATTTTCTTGGGTTGAAGTGGTAAGAAACAGGAAATAAGTGGTAAAACTCAGTGACCACTAATATTTTACAGAGATTCAGGGCCATTAGCCTGAAGCTGCAGCTAAAAGTAACAGGCTTTAGGGTAAAAATCTTTATTCAATGTGATCTAAAGTTGTTGGGTTAAAACTGAGGTGTGCATATGTAAATATGCAACATTACTGGCTAACATGTTTTCTGCATTGTACATTGCTGGCCACATTTATTGGTACCCCTGGTAAAGATGCATACAAAAAAACCAACATAAAAATAAATTTGTCTTTTATTGACAAACTTGGAAAGTGGGGACTTTATTTCCAACCTTTTTAGTCTTGTAACATTTTCAAACATTTGAGCATTCAGAGAGAGCGATCTTTGTCCATAATGCTCTCTTTTCTTTAGTCTTCTGTAATGTTTAGACTTGCATAGAAGGAGTCTGGTTGTTTTCAGTTCCGTTGTGTTTTGGCTCTATCTGTCGGACCAATGTCACGGTCATTTTGTGCTTTGCTTGCACATCCCATCAGATTTTTATTTGCACTTTAAAACGATCTGACATTTTAAAGGGCTTATGCACAGCATGGTCTCAATGACATGACATGACATGACATGAGGTTGAGACCTGGAGTGTTTGTTTCCTAAAAATGTCAGTCTCGGTCCCATCTAACCGAGGACTTTTACGTTTACAGGTAAAAGTCCAAACTCCTCCACAGTTAAGTACATTTGTGATGGCAGCATTAGGACAGAAGAGGCTTTTTCACTTGGCGTCCATCTTAAGCGTGGCGCAGTTCTCCAGGGATGAGCTTTGGAGAAGGCTCCAAAGCTCATCTCTGGAGAACTCTCGTGGTGACAAAATAAATATGAAAGTAGCAGTAGACCTTTTGAGTCATGTCACATTTACGCCCCAGGGAGACGGGCGGTAATGAATTGCTAAATAGAAGTTCAAAGAAACTCTGATTAACTTAAGAAAGTAAAGTATAAATGGAAAAAAAAAATGCAATTACATTTTATTTCAAAGGGATTTCTACAGGTTCCCAATAATTGTGCCACTGCTGAGTTAGTATAAGACAATTATTTCTTCAGATTAAATTTCCCCACTGAATAAATGTACTCAAATTAAATGGTTTTTCCTTCTTCTTCAGAGTGAGATTATCCTGCTGCAACAACAGATAAGATGGATTTATTTTGAGAGTTTTTTTTTATTTTTATTTAGTCCTTACCAGGGATGCCAATAATTGTGGCTAAATGTATTTAGCTTACTCTGTTATGCAACCAGTGAGCTCTTGTTTTAACTACCCTTCTCCACTGCCGTGTTGTGTCTGAATAAAACGTTTTCCATCTTTGTCCTGTTTCTGTCCTGCCCTTCGTCTCTTTGTTTCCGACAGACGTTTGCAAACGACCAGCTGACCCTGAAGGGAAAGCAGGAGGAGGGAAGAGGGAAGTGTCCTTTTGATCCCTTTCAGAGATACTCCTCCCTCATGGTCGGTGAGTGTCCACACAGATGTGAAACGTTTCGCACAGCATTCATGCTCCGTGCAGTTGGTACGCTTAGCGCTTGGTGGAGCCTCCTCAGTCTGCATACAGTCCATGCTAATAACATGTCAGCTTGCAAAGTTCGCCCAGTTCATTAGAGGGTATATTAATGCTTTATTGTTTTATTTTTGATGAGGACGAAGGATTTCCAGGAATGCTTACTCCTCTATTGTTCCTGTCCAACAGGAACTGAGCTGTACTCTGCTACATCCATCAACTTTCTGGGCTCTGAGCCTGTGATTCTGCGCAACTCAAATTTGCCTCTTCGCACCGAGTTTAAGCGCTCCTGGCTCAGTGGTGAGTTATCAAGTCGCTAAATAACCCAATAAAACATCTTTAAAAATATGCATTTAGGTGTTTTTATTCACGCTGTCGGGTTTTTATTTGTGACCATTTGATTTTAGAGCCAAACTTTGTCTACATGGACTTCTTGGAGGAGAGCGTCGACAGTGCCGACGGGGACGACGACAAGGTGTACATGTTCTTCAGCGAGAACGCCATGGAGTACGACTTCTACAGAAAAGTCGCGGTGTCCAGAGTGGCGCGCGTCTGCAAGGTATCACGGCAACGCAGCGTTGCACAAGAGCGCTGGAGGCGACGTCCGAGCCAGGGTTGGGGTTAAACATGGCGGCTTGTTGTTGTCTTCATTTAGGGAGATATGGGCGGCATGCGGACGCTGCAGAGGAAATGGACCACGTTCCTGAAAGCCAGTCTGGATTGTTCCTTCCCTGAACCCAGCTTGCCCCCCATTGTCCAGGACGTGTTCCTGCTACGGCACAAAGACTGGAGGAAGAGCGTCTTCTACGCCGTCTTCACACCTCAGTCGTGAGTGTTTACTGTCGGAGCCACGCGGTTTTTATGGCTGCGTGTGGGTGTTGAATTTAGTTAAGGAGGCTGCTGATCTGTCAGACTGGAAGAAGAATCAAAAGCATGAAGCTGAATAAAAATCTATAAATTATGGAGCCTGTGTCGGGGGAACGGGAGACAAAAGAAAACCCTTCTGTTGCCGTTAATTTGTTTATGTTTGCTTGGCATAATTCTCCGCTGTGTGTTTCAGGAGCTTGTCTCAGATCTCTGCGGTGTGTGCATTCAGCGTCGCGTCGATTCGAGAAATTTTCAACGAGGGAAAGTTTAAGACATCTGTTGCCGTGGAGACGTCCCATGTGAAATGGGTGATGTACACGGGGGAGGTGCCGGAGCCCAGACCGGGAGCGGTAGGTCGACGGAGCTTTCTGCTGCCTGAACTCGTGATGATAAACTCACACAAATCAAGTTTGGGGGTGGGGGAAAAATAAAAATAAAACTGTTTTTAATTTGCTGCCATTTTCAGTGCATCAACAATATGGATCGTAAAAAGGGGATAAATGGCTCCCTGGATTTACCGGATAAAACCCTCCAGTTCATCAGAGACCGGCCCCTGATGGACGAGGCTGTTCGTCCGCTGACTGGGGGCCCGCTGCTGCTCAAGAGGGGACCCTTACTGACCCGAATCGTGGTGGACAGCGTGCTGGCTCTGGACGGAGACATTTACAACGTCATGTTTATCGGAACTGGTAAAATAATTCAGCCTTCGTTAATATCTTGTCTTTTTTTTACAGCCATGAACATGGAAGTATTTATGTTCTGTACCAGCGTAGAGTGGTTCATCAAAAAAAAAAAAAAAAAAAAACCCACAGATTTGAAAAGCATAATGCGGTAACTCTGGAGGAGCTGCAGAGGTTCACAACTTTGGTGATGGAAAGTGTTGATAAATCTGATAATTATGGAAGAATAGCAAGAATAAAGCTGTTGTTGAAAGAGAGCAATAAGGTCTTTTTCAAATGTATAAGATTTCATGCAGGAAACACTACAAACATCCTGTTCTCTGGTGAAAAGATAAACTGACTTGTTTGCTGCAAAACAGAGTTAATAGAAAGATTGATGAAGTGACGTATTGGGCCATTCTGGAAAACGTTAGAGCGGGACAACAACGACCCTAAACATGCAGCCAGAGACAAAATGAAGGAGTTTTGATCAACACGTATTCACGTTTCAGAATGGCCCTGTCAAAGTCCAGTCCAGTTGAAACTGTGGCAAAATACGTATATTTTAATATCCACTTTACAAATATGCCCTGCTCTGTGTTGATGTAAAATCCTAGTAAAGTATATTAAAGGCTCCTGTTTTGTCTCCTTGACAGAAAACGGCTACATTCAGAAGGCCGTCAACTTTGACGGAGAGATGTTCATCATCGAGCAGATTCAGGTGTACGAAAACCCCGAGGCCGTCAAGGTCGTACGCCTCTCATCAAGCAAGGTAACAACGGTAGCATGTAAACCCGTCGCAATAAGCAATTAGTCAATTAATCACATGATGAACTAAAATGAGCGTAACAATTTCTATTCTGATCATTTAATATTTTTAGAAGGGTCATTTTGCTTGCAGAAGCTTTATAGTCCATTTTATTTATGGTTTTGTTTGTGTGTGGTTTTTGTTTGTGTTATATTTATGGTTTTGTTTTGGTTGTTGTTGTTTTATTTTGACAATTTAAAATATCTTCCAGTTCCAGGGTTGAGTGTTCTTTGTAAAATTAAAGTTTATTAGTCTTGCATTATTATTCCATTGTCAATACATTACCTGAAAACGATCTCAAAACAACATTATTGATCGTCGCAATAATATCTGGGACAATTTAGCGTCCAGCAACATTTGTCATCATGGCCTAAATGATGAGGACAAAACATAAGTGGCTAAATATTTAATATAATATTTCTGTTTCCAAAGGGTCAACTCTACGCCGGTTCTGAATCTGGTGTCGTCCAGATGCCGGTCAGTAACTGCAGTCGGTACCAGTCTTGTGAGGACTGCATCCTGTCCAGGGACCCTTACTGTGCCTGGGACTCGTCCGCTGAGCGCTGCTCCTCCGTCTCCTCTCTGTCTGCGTCCCCCGAAGCTGCAGTCCAGAGTCTGAAGGAGGGGAGCGTGTCACAGTGTCCTCCAGCAGGTGCGTCCGTCATGACTCCTGCCAATTTTATGAGTGTGAGGTTGGGCTAACCTCTTTGCTTTTGTGTGCGATGACGTTTACAGATCCAGTGCCAGCTGTGGACGTTGCTCTAATTCCAGGGAACAATATCCAGCTGCCTTGCCAGCGTCACTCCAACCTGGCGGAGGTCCACTGGAGGTTCGCTGACCTCCAGGTTTTATCTACGCACAAATACTACATCTACAGCGACGGCCTCCTCATCCTGAACACGACCGCGTCGGACGCAGGCTTGTACTTCTGTGACTCGGTGGAGCAGATCAACAGCAGGACGTACAACAGGACTGTGGCCGTTTATCATTTACAAATCTCCTCTGAGCCAGTCAGCCCCGCTCCCGGCATAGCAGCCACAAAACACTTCATTCAAACGCCGAAAACGGCTGCAACTGGGTCACAGCCGGACCTGGGCAGCGAGGACCCGCTGACGCCTGAGAATCAAAGCGACTCTGGGAGAATGAGCCGCCTGGAGGCGGCCGTGGCTCTGCTGTCGCTGCTGTGCCTCGCTCTCATCGCCGTCGTACTGTGGTTCTGGAAACGAGGGCACTGGAAGTGCTCCGGGTTGGCGCAGAGATCCAAGGGTAGCGAGGGGAAGCAGCAGCAGCAGCCGTCGTCGGACTACACGCACATTCAGAACAGAAACTCTGCGATTAAGCTCCTGGGGGCGGAGGCCGGACCGTGCACCGCCAACAATAATCACACCACTGTGGACTTCAAAAAGAACGGGGAGTACCACTTCCCACCTCTGGCCAGCATTTCAAGTCTGAACGGTCTGGGGTACATCCGTGACGAGTCAGAGATTTGACTCTGCTGAGGCTTCAGTCCTCGTTCTGCATCGGTGCAATAATGATGTACTTGCAATGTGTTGTTCAGGTACGTCTCAATAAACTGAAATTCAAGCAAAAAGCTTATTTCAGTAATTCAGTTCAAAGTCATGTGCTGTGTCGATTCATAGCACACAGAGAAGTGTTTGTTTTAGTTGACTTTGATAATATAATACAAATAAAGTTTTTATTATTTATTATCCATCAATTGTCTGATGGTTGGGCTACTGAGGCCTGTCTCCAGTGATCATTGGGCATGAGACAAGAACTATAATAAATATATAATTATAATATAAATACAATATAATGGCTTTGCTTCACAATTGTCCCCGGGCTGTGATGATCCCTGATGCTTTTCCTACCACACTTTTTCCTTCCACTCAATTTTCCATTAATATGCTTAAACAGTTCTCTGAACTTTAGTGGCTTACCTTCAATCAATGACTGACTCCTGAACAAATGTCAAATCAGCGGCATTTCCCATGACTGTAGAGGCCATAGCATGATCTTAAAATGTTTTTTTTTTATTGATTATTATTATAAATGTTTTATTATCCCTAGATTACAAAATACACATATATATATATATATATATATATATAGTTTCCCCTTTCTGAACCGAACTACTGAAATAGATGAACTTTCCACAGATCTTCCAGTTTGTTGAGATACGCCTTTAGATGGTGAATGGGTTCCTGGTTCTTTCCTGGGTGATTTCCAATGTCTGTTCAGGCAGTGGATATTCACTAAAAAGACATGTAACTTGTTAAATATCTGCTCCAGAAATGTTTTTTACAGTCATATTTTTGTATAATCCCAATCTGTGAATACGATCTGTGTAATATTTATGTACAGTCAAGCTTTTTTTTTTTTTTGACTATTTATTGGAGGAAATTCCCATTTTCTATTTTTACCCTCTAATCTTTGAAATGAACATGTAGCATCTTGGTGACCGAACTTCAAGCTTAATTCATTTCATGGATCCTGCTGTATGAAATCAACAGGGGTAATTTTTTTCATTGCTCTTTGGTTGAATTAATCTTCCTGCCTCTACTTTTTCACCACTCATTCAGTAAAAAAAATAAAAAATAAAAGCCACATGTAATTAACTACTTCTTAACAAATATCACCATTTTGTTTCGATAATTACATCCTAAAGCTCCAGTAGGAAGGCGGTTCTTTTATTCCTTTCGGTGGGGTTCGCACAGCTTTACTTCAAATTGTACATTTGTGTTAAACTGAAAAAGACAAAGCTGTTGCAGGAATGTACAGGTGTGGGTGTAAATTTTTGGTGGCATATCAGTAAAAAAATAAAAATATGGGAAAATGGGGGGGTTTGACCTGGAAACATTGCCTTGTAAAAATGAATACGGTAATACAAATTTTTTTTGTGATTTCCTTTTTTCTTACACAGTTGAGTCCTTTGAGATTTCTCTTATTGGGGAGATGGTGATTTAGGAAGACTTGAGAACAGAAGAACTTAAATCTCACTGTTCTCAGGTGAGAACAGTGAGATGAGTGACAAAAATCTTTTTTTTTTTTTCCACACACCTACACTTGAATCCCGTTTCATCTCATACAAGTGTTGATATAAAAGCGATGCGTCGAGATTCCCATTAAATATTTACCAGTGTGGTATAAAGAAGTTATCATGTACATAATTAGGGATCAAAATTGCTTCTGGGCGATAAAAAAAATTAAAATAAAAAATTGCTGCTGCTGTTGTTGAATACATGCGTTATTTCAATACTCCCTCAGCCAATTGCAGCTGGTGCCACAAGGCTTAGAAAGTCTGGCTCATACTGATTTATCAGCAATGTTTGCAGCTCATGAATCCCAGATGTCACTAAAGCAGTTGGTGTCATCCAGACGCCAGATCTTTTTAAAGTTAAAAATGCAAGAATGGGAAAGTTTGGCAAACTGTAAAATTATTTTCTCATGTTACAAATTCAAACTTCATAGTATCTTTAGTACTTATGACACACCAACACAAAGTAGTACATAATCACAAAGCAGAAAATTAGGCATGATTTTGAAAAAAAGAATTAAATCTGCCTTGAGTTAACATTGTGTTGCGGCTACAGCTGCAATCTTTTGGGGATTAAGTCACTGCCAGCCTTACATATCTATAAATATTTCCTCACTCTTCTTTGCAAAATAGCTCAAAAACTAATTGAGAGTGAGTGGAAATCATACATGGGCAACAGTTTATAAATTTTGTAGTGGATATACATTTGGACTTTGACTAGACCCATTCAAAAGATAAACATGCACTAATTAATTAATGCCTATTCCTCAGTAACTCTGGTCTATCACTGACTCTGATAGACCAGAAAACCAAGTGTCAAATTTCTTCTGCTTCAAAATAATGCTTTGATTTGAGTCCCAACAAAATACTCCGACATTTGGCTTTCAGATTTAACAAAGTGCAGAAAACAAAATATGACATAACACATTGTGACAAAGCACAAAAGTGGTGCATTCTTCTGCTGTGGCAATGCTTCATGGAAGAAGCAAACTGTGATACGAACTGCAGTTAAACAGTCCAATGTGGTGGAATAAACCAGAAACGCTGTGTGAATAAAGTAATTTATTGAAATGTTGCGACATGTATAGAATACTTTCACACGTACGCTTTATTTTCTGAAACCTAATACAGAAGATTTAAGATGTTACACTTGGCAGTTGTCCTCGAAGGACACTTTAATGACAAGAAAAAGTAAATAAAATGTCAAAATCTACAATGGAGGCACCATCTTTTTCCTCTTAGTTGAGATGTGGACTTCAGGCAGGCTTTGACAGGCGCAAGATTAGATTTTAATTCCATACATAAAAAGCATGTTGGAAGGACAAAAGTCGAGACCAACTCAGAATTAGCCTGCAGTTAATCCATTGATCCATGCAGGTTTCAATCAGTCTGGATATTGGAAGCAAGATACGAGCTCATTTCAGATGAATGTTTTAGTGGCCACATGCAAGCCTGTTGTGATTAAACACAAAATCTGTATCTGGTGGAAAGTGAAAGAAACGACAACGATGGCAGCAGGAGATAAAGATGCTTTCATCCACTGAAAGCAAACAAAACTCAGCTGTTCTGGCTGCTTAGGGTGTGAAAGAGGAGGAGTTAAGTGTTTTGGCATATCAGTGCTCAGTAAGAAATCAAACAGAAAACCTGCTTCACTGAAGCATAAGATTAGTTCAACAAAAAACAAATTGCAGCTTTTGTTAAGGCGGGCGCAAGTCAAGCGGAAGACTTTAAACATGCAAAATCTGCAACAGTAAGGCAAGCATGGAAGCATCGCTAACAAACCAAACTTATAAAATTATGAAAAAAACAAAAAAAAACAAAAAAAACCCCAATCACCCTTGCTACGTTATGTAGCATGCAACTTTGTAAAAATCCTAACATTACACAGATCCATAAGGCACACTTTCTTCACTTTGCTTTAAAGTGATCACTCATTTTGTTTCTGCATGTCTGCAATCCATTAAACCTTCAAAAGCAAATCTTTAATTTAAGTCTAAGACTATATTTGTTTTTGTTGTTTTTTTCTTATTAACCTTTTGTAAACAAAGTAGAAACAGAATGGCACACTTTGAAGGCAACCTCCCAAACAGTTTCAGGTTGATGAAAAAAACTTTCAAATAAGAAAAAAAAAATACTTTCAAACAAATAACTGTCTAATCCATACTTTGAGAGTGACATGCTGATTTGTTTTGAAGTGCTTTTGTCAGCACTGTGGAAATGACCGATCATCTGTCTCCCCCTAGTGGCGAACCTCAGCCATCACCAGTGGCTGTTGTCAGGGTAACTGGGCACCGCGGTGGGGTACTGAGGCAAAGTCGGGCCCTGAGCCGTCTGAGCGACGGCGTCGAAGGCTGCTTCCCTCACCGGGGCGCTCTTCCACAGCCCTGTGCTCCACTCCTCCTGAGCGCGCTGCATGCTGCCGCCGCCGCCGCGGTACATCCTGTGCACCTGGGACACGAAAACAGGAGGAAACGTTGTGACTTTGGCGAACAGGGACGTCTCAATTAATTAGAGTGACACTGAAAAGTTAATGCATTGTAGAGATTGGGAGATTTATTTCTGGTCATTTTGTTGACGACAGCTAAAATGGATTTATAAAATAAAAAGTAATTTAATCCCTGAGGTGGTGCTTGGGTCTTTTGGACCAGTCTACGTGTTCTTCTGACAGCTGATGCTCTTCTTGAAGCAGTCTTCACAACATGGAGTTAATATTTGTAAAAGATTAGGTTACAAGAGAAATTAATCTAACACCAAAACCTTAACCCTTCCCAGAAGGCCAGGTTAGTTTAGTTATATTACTTCCCTAAATTAACAAAAATCATCATTTAAAATCTGTTTTTGCATTTTTATCAAATTTGATTGATGATCTGGACCCCCAGGCTCCCTCCCCCCACCAAAAAAAAAAAAATCCAAAACAGAATAAATACTATATGTAAAGGCAGCAAAACACTTTTTCTCAAAATTAGAAAAATACATCAACTTTTCAATGATTTTCTAATTGACTGAGATTCGCCCGTATTCTTGACTTCTGTCGATAAACTCAAAAACTACGCTGAAGGGTAAAAATCGCTTCTAGCTTGTTGTTCACTCACCTTAATGAGGACCAGTGCCATTAGTGCGGCCACCACAGTGAAGAGCAGCGTTGTGATAAGCATCACTATAGCGGAGCCCACATTTTGGCTGAAAAACATCACTGTGGCAATCCAGCCGCTTTGTGTCGGTGAGGATGAGATGGAAGTAGTACGAGTTAGTGTATCAGACAGTGAGCACACACAGCAAAGTGGATTTAATACAAACATTATTAAGCAGTGAGAACTGAGATGCGGTGACACACTCGATAATCAAATGAGTCATTATTAAAGCCACGAGTGAACAGTACAGTCACAACAAGCATGTGTGCAGTTCTCTTAATTGTGTGTAGACTGCCAGAGGGAACATGCTTTGTTTTGGATGTTTATTAGGTAAAAAAAAAAAAAAAAAAAAAGGAAAAAATTATTTAAATTTTTTTAAAAATTGAAGCAGATATGTTGCAGGGAAAAAAAAAACTGGATATGCAAAAAAGAATTGCTAAGTTTGCTGAGAAACCACCTTCTTCACTCTTTTACAAGGCTGGAGAAATTTCATCAGAACACAGATTTCATCAATAAAACAGTAAAACCCTCAAGCACACACAGCTGGAGAAGTATGCAAAATGACTGGATCATCAACAGAGCAATTCATCATTTTCAACTTTTCCTTAAAGTCAAAAATGCGTACGATTCAGAGATTACATTTTTACGTTTTACAAGAACCTGATGCCGTCGTCTGCTGTGTGTGTCTTTACTAAGGAGAGATACAAAAATAAAAGGTGGCTTAAGAGATTACTTAGGCAGCTGACAAGAGCGAGTATAAAGGTCTGTGGCCGATGCTCTAATGTGGTTTTTCTAGAGAGAAATCTCGCTGAAGGGAAGGAATGCTAAACTAATATTCTGAAGTTACTTAAAATATTCACATGATGAACATCTTACAGCAGAATAAATTCCTTTTAATGCAGTAAGAAGCTCAACTGTGCTTCTTCTATCAGGCTGTGCCGCCTGCTAGCATAAATAGCTAACTGTACCTCGGCTTAATGCATCTAGTTTGTGGTAAAGATGTAGTTCAACACCTGACGGAAGAGCACCCAGTTAAAAAGCCATTCGTGCGTCGTTCTTTCACACAGATTGATGTGTTTGTATTTTAAATTAATCTAGTAGATGCTAAAACATTGATTTAAAAATAAGAATATATATATATTTGTAGGTGTTTTCAATTTTATTTCTCCCAGAGTAAAGTTTTTCCGTCACTCTTGCAAGCTGAACCTCGACATGACCTGGTTATCATCAATCTAACCAAGGTCTGAATATTTATGATCTCAAAACCACCGGATTTTTCATCACGCTGCGTGGTGGAGAGTCTGATTAACAGATGAAAGAGAAAGTGCCAGAATGACACAGCATCGCATTTCAGTCTTTCGATACTGAGTCATTAGAACAATTAGTATCACCAATAAGTGATGGTTTTAGGTCATGGGTACAAATATGTGGAGAACCACGAAAAAGGTTGCAAATATTCTAAAAATCTGTGCTAAGAAAAGAAGTGAATACGTAGAGGCAAAGGGTTCTCTATAGATAAGAGCAAAAAAATAGGATTAATTACTATGACAATATTTTAACTTCTTTAATTTGGGGAAAACCAATAATTAAAAGACAATTCAAGCATGGTTTAAAATATATATACAATTTGAAAGTATCCCTTTGCAGTTTAGCTAAATGGTTAACAACATAACACTTAGCATACAAGTTGATATCCTTTATGGAAGTGTGCTTCAGCCAGGCAGCTATTTTATTTTATTTAAATATAAGTGCTCATCTTTGTGTGCTTCCATTTGCCTGTCAGCTTTTTGATAATGCAAATAAAAAGTCACTACTGAAGGACACATAAAGGGTCATTCTACACTAAAACAAACCATCTTTTAAAACAAACATGGATCTACTGCATACCATACATATTTTTTTACAGTGTAAACAAAGATCCGCTCTATGCAGATGTGTTCAGCAGCAGCCCTGTACAATATTTATCTTTCTGGTAATTTTGCATAAAATTTTCTTAAGTGATAATCTACAGACGAAGAGAAGGTTGCCACGGTTTCTGGACTTTTTTTCTGCTCTAATTGCCAGCTTCAGTCCGACTCCACGATGACCTGTGTTAGCATTAGCCACATTAGCATCCAGTGCCTTTAAACCTAAACGTGGGCATAGCAAAGAAGCTCTCTGGTTTGTTTTATTGCTTCATTACTTCACGGCCGACTGAGCTGTCAGCTGATTCACAGTTTCCTCCATTAATTTGTGCCACAGAAGGACGAAGCGCATCTTGACGATTGAGCTCAGACCAACAGAGCGCCATCATATCCCAAAAGCTAACATCTAACATCTACCTAGGAGGTTTTCTACTTCACTGCTGTAGACTAAGGAGCTTTACTGACCTTTTTAGGTTTCTCTAAAACATCAGAGTCGCTCGTTGAGTTGGCGTTAAATTGCTCACCTTCTCTATCCTCCCATGTTTACACATTAAATATTAGGACAGTAATGGCACAACAAACCTGTCGAACAGCTGTGTACTGTCACGATACAACACAAATGACAATGGAGTAGAGTCTGAACAAGTTCAATCTAAATATCTTTGCTTTCATTTTAAGTAAAATGTCTGATAACAGAGTAGATGTAAAGTAAAAAGCAACTAGATAGCAAAAATCCTTGAGATTATCTCTGATAAAAAACAAACAAACAAACTGGTGGACAAAACATACAAAGTCTTGACAGTAAGTTTGGTCCAGACTCACCATGTTCCCCATCCAGAGATGCCTATAGCCTGGATAACGGTCAAGACACACTGAAGGAAAAAGATGAAGAAGAAGGCCATGAAGTTGAAGGAGCTATCAGCCCTGTGAACGGCAAAGGGAAACACAAAGTCATGATGCCGGAGAGATTCAGAGCAGCTCCATTTTCTTTGATTCTAACTTTTTATGTGAAAATCTGACGCTACGAAACGTGATACCGTCAACAAAACAAGCAGTGGAAAGACCAGAAAAGCCAGGCTACAAATTTTACATGGAAAGGAAAAAGCTCCTCTGACGGAGATTATCACTCTACAACTGTATCAATGCTGATATCAACCAAATATCTGAAAATAATCAGCAATGATTATGCAAGAAGAATTTACATATTTCGGGGGGGGGGGGGGGCACCTTTTTTTTTTTTTAAAACGGAAACCGCAAAAATTTTTTATTTGGGTTTTT